CCAAACTAATGGTTTTTCCTTGAACAAAGCGACTCACAAAAGCAGTTGAAATTAATCAGTTCTCTTTGATATCTACCTTCTAAGTCGATTTAGGGTTATGAAATCAGTTGTTTCTATATGCAAGCGGATAAGACTGTAACGTATCCGATTACCGTAGCTACGCAGGTACGAGGACCAGAAAGAAAATCGTGATCAAACTTCAAAGCTCAAATCTGTTTAGGAACTTGCTGGGCTCACGCAACTTGCCGATATGCCACGTTGTCGTTATGAGGTTATTGACCCAGAGACGAGAGATACAGTAGATGTGGTTACGGTAGGAAGTAAATTGCTGCATAGGTGGACATGTGAGAGTACAGCTCCAGGTTGGTGATGTTGTATTGATGCGACGACCAAATCAATAATTGATTTTTCTTTATTAAGTACTAGTAGGCTAATCCAATAAAGATGCCTTACTGATTTTTTAATATTTCCAAACATTTAGATCTTTGGTGTATGACTGTACATTCGTGTCGGGTCGAGGATGACTCTGGGACAAGTTTTTCGATTTTGGATGAGAAGGGGTAAAAATCGCAGAACAAAACTATATGAAATGAAGTTACTAGGTCAATATAATTTTAGATGTTCAATCGATCGATATCTTCTGGACAATCTCGAGTACGGGCCAGGACCGTTGCAGGCACAGAAAGAAGCGCACGCCTTCAAATTTGCCGATAAGGTGGGAGCATATGCAATTAAGGGAACATTGGGTCAGAGGTACGGGGTTTGGAGCAAATCACATGCCCTCGGCGCCTCTAGGTGCACCTAAAGTAGCAAGACGGGCATGATAAACTGCATCTTTTCACATCACTGAATATATTGATATTGGAAATTATTTAACCTAACTCTTCAATGTGATACAGGTGGTCGTAAACTTCCAGTGCAGTGTACGCATTGATCTCAAGGATGGGGAATGTCCGGTAAGTTAAAAATCTTGAACTTTGTCGCATTTTAAATAGGGGCGTGCTTAAATGTTTTCTTAACCAATGTTACTTAAAGATCCCAGCTTGCGAGGATCCAATCAAATTTGAGCAACGCCTACGACCTCGCTCTGCTGGTTACATCCACGAGGTAAGTGACCTTCTAACTGGGCATTGCGTACCCATCCTGTGCCAACTAATTTTTAGATTCCACTTCTCACGAATGGATCTGTCGAGGTGGACGTCAGGGCACAGCAGATTGACGTGTTGGATACTCAATTAGGCAAGCGAGTTATCTATTTTTTGAATAGTTGATGAA